TACTATCACTTATTAGAGACTAACAATTTAACTTAAGTAAAATAAATGAACAATATATTATTCAAATATAAAATTAATAACAATCGGATTTTAATTAATCTATCATGCAATATAATAATAGTGTTTTGTATACAAAATATATAGGTATATAATATTATACAATTATATATAGAAAATTTCAAAAATGATAAAAGGCTAAATATTAAATATTCGGTTACCTTTTTCCAGGCGCTTATATTTGTAAGGTATTGTAAAATATTTTAATATTGTTATTGTATAAGACTCCCGTTAAGTAGGTACCAAGTCATACATATTTTATACGTAAAAAACATTTTTTTTTTTTAAATTAATACAACTCATCATGTAATTATATTTTTATTATAGTACATTTAATTTTAAGTTCAATCAATATATCATGATTTATTGTTTTCATAAAAATGTTTGCATTTTTTCAAAACAGTAATTGACTAACTGTATATGCCATAATGGTATAGTTTACCGATATATTAAAATTTTTTAATAAATTCAATTTATTAAAAAAATCAAATTCATATCTTCATATTATATTATAATGATTATTGTTCAGTAATGTTATTATTTGTACAGTATTTTACCTAGGTATATGGGTGTGTATAATTATTATTATGTCATTAATATTGATTTAAATAGTATGTAGTAGTCAATAGGTTAGGTTAGCTTATAAAATATATTAAATCTTAAGAATAATAAGGAAATATTTACAAGTTTTGAAATTAATTGTAAAAAAAAAATGTCACTGCTCATACCTTAAACTCAAAAGTATATATTTAATATATTATAATATAATATAATATAATCTTAATATAATTTGTTCGTAAAATAATATTTTTTAAGATACAGCCACTAAGTATTCAAAATTTACTTCAAAGCGTTTTATTTTCATATTTGATTAGGTGCTTAGTGCAGTTGTTGTAGGTATATACTGTAAATATAACATCTGATTGATGCTAAAGGATATGAACTTACAACTGTACGTCTGTACGATCCAACTCTGTTTATCTAGATTCTAGAGTTAACTATCGGGTAAAAAGTCGCATTTTTATGTACTCTAAAATAAAATAAAAAACAGTGCTGATATAGTCTACCCAACGGGACGCGTTATACTAAATGACTTTTATATCCCCAAGGTCTCAAAAGCTAATGCTTACACGAACTTTACTCTAAAACATATCTTCACTCTTCTACACCCACCTATCGTAACGCGATAACCTAGTCAACCAATTTCGTTCCTATAATGGTCCACTGTTCCCTTATTGCGGCGAGAAACACCTCAGGGCCAATAACAACGATCTCCGCTAACCCTCTGCRTACCGCCATCCCTCAGTCCGGCCGATTCTCTAATAAAATTAAATCGCCAACGTCATATACAACGAGTATAATTCAATTTAAACAGACTTTTATTAGAACGAATTTGGGTGTCACGAGTATATACAATGTCAATAATTATTAATAATCGAGTCACTTCGCATCATGTAATAACTATGCGCATTATGGGTCAGGTGGCAATGATGGAATACAAAATAATTTTCGTCATTAAACTCATCACATATCGAATCGCTGGAGGTGGCGACTTGTTAAAATATTTTTTTTTTTTATTATTATTATTAATTAAATGCTTCAAATACAAAGGTTTATTAGCCTAAAATGGTAAAATAATTTATTGGTGCGTAAAATGCTAAAAACTGACAAATGAAAACAAATTAGAACTGTACTGGCCCTATTTATTATTTTATAATACGAAGTTTAAGTCTTTAAATTTTCRGAAACGTTCGCTTCATATTTCTACTTTTTCTTTAGTTCAAGCTCTGTGACGCGTATATGGAAATATAAGTATACAAGTTGCAGTGTTATACTTATGTGTAYAGACACGATAAAATGCGTTCTTATATTATTTTAATGTATTATATTATTTAAAAAAATAATAAGCAACCGGTAGACGTTGGGCATGTACTCGTATATGCAATTGTGCAATGAAAGATGATTGAGGAGACGTAGTCGTGTTTATACATTATATTCAGAACGCGCGGCGAGGGAAGGGTGAAATAGGTCGGAGGGATTTTATTCGTTTTGAAACGGAATATTATTTCTGTTTTACAAATAGCGTCCGGTCATTAAGCGCGATTAATAATCTACGGAACTACGGTGATTATATTAAAGAGACTAAAACGTGATGCGACGGCTGCTATTACACCAACAATAATAACGAATACTATAACTGCAGTACACATTATAATACATCAGATACCTGTGTATAGGACATATAGGTATATAATATAATATACTTGATATTTAAATATACGAATTATATGTAATGTTAAATTGTGTGTTATGACGTACGTACGYGGTGTAATACCTACGATATTCCTACAAAACGCACGCACGACGAACGCGGAAAACGATGACGATGACGGGACAGAGTAGGCGTGTGTGAGGCACGCGTAGGCAACTGCAACACACACGGCCACCGTCATACGGATGCGGAGACCCGTCTCGCGTAACGATAAAAATAATAATAATAATAGTACAATAATAATTGACGCCTACTGCACCACGCAGAGATGCAGTGGTGGCGTTGCTGCCATCGGCGCGTTTGTCGTCGGCCAGACAGTAACGATAATAATATCGCACGCTCCCCTTTCGCGACTTTGCGCTGTTATAAATCGTCTAAATCGTCTTTATAGATATTTATAATATAACAATGATTTTACACTGCCGGGATTATCGCATAAAGAAGGTAGGTACCTCAATACGGTTAATAKAGCAAATATATTTACGTGCTGTTATATCAATTTATTATTACTTGGCGCTAAGGTGGATAGGTGGAATAATTATATTATATATTCATATATAAATTAAATCATTGTTAATCACGTGCARTCATTTCCATCGTACTTAATAAGTACTACTTATATTGTATAATATTACGCGTTTACGTTATGACTACAGGCTACAGCGTGCATTATGATTTCTGAAGTCGTGGTTAAGTACGTTAAAAAAAATTTTTTTTTTTGAGATTCTAATCGTTACCGATACCTATTATAGCATTATAATATATATATAGTATATATATTTAGTATTTTAAGGGGTCGCGAAAAGTTAAAAGTTATAAGAGCTGCAGTCGTTTAAAATTCGTTATCCGTGTTAATTACAATTTTAATTCATTTTTTTTTCATAAAATAATTTGATAACTTACTAACAATTGGCCGTCATAATAAGCTGTCATATTATTATAATATATTGGTTTCAATTGTTATCGTTTTTCTGTTTGGGCTGCGTGATCTGCAGATAACAGGTACTATAATATGTATTGTYTTTTGTTATGAATTATGATAACTCGCTTAGGTTTAACTATTTAAGTTAAGCGATAAACTGATAAATGTACATATAGGTAGCTTAATATATTAAAACCGATTTGTCTAAATAAAAGTTGATCGTGAATTCTTTATTAAATTAGTTCTCATAAAATGCAGTTTTTAGTATCAACGTCTGAAATAATATTATACCTATCTATAATAATACTGAAAGAGGGAACACGTAGGTGGTAAGTAAACCATATCGAATAATATTTGATTACAGAGAAAGTTAACAATAAAACATTGGCTTAATATATTTGATGTTTAGTTGAAATAGTCCGTCTAGTCAGGTTGATCTTTCGTATAAATAAAAATAAATATCATGAGTAATAGCCATCATACCTAACTCATAATATTACTCACGATATTCGTTTTGACGAATCTAAGACACTTACCTTTTGGTCGAGAAGGTACTGTCATACTTTATATTTTATTTTTAATTATTATTAATAATAATATGTGAAGTAAATGTTTAGTGAATTATTAACAATTAAAAAAAAAAAAAAAAAAAAAAAAGAAGTTATAACTGTGGCATATTAGTCGTGAACCTTGTAGAAAAAAATGTTTCGTGTTTATTTAATGCACATAACAACTTAACTATTAGTAATTG